ATAATGTTACATATAATTTAAAAAATTTTCTGATTAGAACATATGCTCCTAGACTCTAGTGCCTAGTGTGGCTAGTGGAGGCAGTGGGCCTGGCCACTAACTCCTCTCTCTCATGCATCTTGTATCCCTAGCACACGACACATAAAATGAAAAACGTTGGATTATACGATTACCTAACATTTTGTTGTCTATACCCCATCGCATGAGATCGAATCCATGATTGCCATTTTCTGGTCGAAATGCTACGGGTGGGGTGACAGAATAAAGGTAGTATGTCATCTCCTTGTGGCCCATGGAACATGCGACGGTTACTGGGATATGGCCTTCTTTACATCGAACTGTAAGTAATTTGTTTTTCCTTTTGACAATGCATTTTGCCACGTGCGTTCTTCCCGTCGATGCAACTAGGGTAAGAAACGTGTGACGCAAATTTTTAGTCTTGATTTCCAGATCTGTTTCTGACATCATCGCTACCAATTCCTCGGCAATCTGATCTTGGCCGGCCTGTATTGCAACATGAAGAGCAGTATGGCCTTCGTCTGATAATATTATTGTATCTAGTGGATGCTTATTATAAACAAAAAACTGCTTAACAGCATTCCAATCTCCTTTGCAAATGCTCTTTTTCAATTCTACAAAACGAGAATCTTCAATCATCTCCTCTTTTTTTCCTGTGAATAATTAAGATATTAATAAAAATTATAAGCACTTCAGTAAATTAATTCAATAGAGATTCTGCTCAAATCAATTTTACCTCCATTCGACCCCTGCATTTTAGTTGTTTCTTTCCCTGCCAATAATTAAAATTTATAATTAAATTATACTTCAATCAAGTTATAGCTAATTCAATTTGAAATCTCTTTAAATCAATCTTACCTTGATCCCACCGCTCAAAATGAATCATTTCAGTTATCTCATCTTCTTCACCTGTCAATAATTAAGATATTATAATCAAATTATACTTCAATTAAGGTACAGTTAATTCAGTTAGGAATCTCTTCAAATCAATCTTACATTCATACGACCAATCAGAATGAGTCTTTTCAGTTATTGCATCTTCCTCCCCTGCCAATAATTAAGATATTATAATCAAATTATACTTCAATCAAAGTATAATTAATTCAGTTGGGAATCTCTTCAAATCAATCTTACCTCCATCCCATCCCTGCATTTTAGTTGTCTCATCTTCTTCTCTTGCCAATAATTCAGTTGAGAATCTCTTCAAATCAATCTTACCTCCATCCCACCCCTGCATTTTAATTGTCTCATCTTTTTCCCCTGCCAATAATTAAGATATTATAATCAAATTATGGTATAGTTAATTCAGTTGGGCATCTCTTCAAATCAATCTTACCTCCATCCCACCCCTACATTTCAATTATCACATCTTCCTCCCCGCCAATAATTAAGATATTATAATTAAATTATGGTACAATTAATTCAGTTGGGAATCTCTTCAAATCAATCTTACCTCCATCCCACCCTTGCATTTCAATTATCTCATCTTCTTCCCCTGCCAATAATTAAGTTATTATAATCAAATTATACTTCAGTTGAAATATAGTTAATTCAATTACGAATCTCTTCAAATCAATCTTACCTTCATCCAACCCTTCAGAATGAAGCATAGTTGATTTAGTTAGGAATCTTTTCAAATCAATCTTACTTTTATCCGACCCCCCAGAATGAGGCCTTTTAGTTATTTCATCTTCTTTTCCTGCCAATAATTAAAGTATTATAATCAAATTATATTTCAGTCAAGATATAATTAATTCAGTTAGGAATCTCTTCAGATCAATCTTACCTCCATCCGACCTCTCCATGCCAGTTTTTGGTTTCAATTTAGATTGCCACTCTTGATGCATTTTGGCTAATTTACTCCAAGCATTTTTGGCCAACTTGATTTCCTTTATTTGAGCAAAAATATCTGCTGAAGATGTAGTATGAATTGCATTTAGAGCCACTGCATTCTTTCTCCCCCAATTTCCAACGTCGTTCGAAGAAGAATAAAAATCAGCATCGTCCCCAGATTCAATAATGCCCCAAAGATCTTGAGCCAATAGATAGTTTTTCATGTAAATTCTCCAATCTTCATAATTATTTTCTTTAAGAAGAAAAGGAACAATAACAGTAGTACTTGAAACACTGCATATTGGCATTTCAAGTATCTGTCAAACCATAAAAAGTATAGAATCGTATTAGTTAATTAAATATTGTATACATAAAACTAAATCTGCAGTTTATATAATCATTAATAAAGAATTAAAATTTTTTGATATTGAGAACTCATCCTTTTCTCAATAATTAAAAATAATATAGTTCACAACATTATTTTCTATTTTATATATCATTTAAGAAGAGAGCATGGATACATAGTACTTAAAAATATAAAATGCTATGAAGCCATAACAAAAAAACTCAAATTGAAAGATGACTTCAATATATACATACCATGGAAGTGATGGACGAGATGAGCTTTCTCCTTTTTGATCAGAGCAGATGGACGAGATGAGGTTCCTCGTGAGTAGTCTAATTAAACTTTATCTACTACTTATGCTTCAACTTTTGCCGTTATTAACGGAAAAACAACACGCGGTTTCGTGTGGTTTCCAGTCACCTTCAGTTTTTTTATCTCCATTATTGTCCATACAATAACATCGTCGTGTATTTGACCTTTTGTAACAACATGGTCAGAAAAACAACAAAAAAGAAGACGAAAATCTTTTTCCAACTTTTTGACTAAAAAGCTGACATGGAGACATGCAACTGTGCAAGGTAGTATTTTAACCTTTTGTTAACAACTTGTAGTCTGCTGTTTTGAGCTTGGGTCATTCTGTTAAACGACATTAGTTGCTGTTGTTGTTAGGTTTTTTTTTTTTTTTTTCCTTTAAACGAGTTAGTCTTTTATTACTATTAGAGAAAATGGAAGTGTTAGAATCTTAGGATTCATATTATACTAGTATGTTTATATTTGTATTTATGCTAGAATATTAACATTTACATTATATTAATATATGTTTATATTGTAATAGATTACATACATTTAAGTTTAATTGAATTTATATTTAACAATATTTTATTACACAAAGATCAAAAAATATTTTATTATATAAGTCGATATATAAATTTTTTGTATATACAATAAAGGTGAAAAAATAAATTCTTCAAATATTTTTCCCCTTTTTAGTTTTTTTTTTCTTTGAATGGATTATAACTTGGGGAGAAGAGATTTGAAACCCAACTTTAAAATTGAGATGCACTTTATTATAAAAGTATAGAGTTATTGGACCATGAGACCCAAGTGCATTATTTTTTAGTTTCTAATAGAAAGAAAATGTTAGCTTTCTATTTTCCGTGAACTAAAGGAAGGCTAGACGAAACTGCGCGCATGAATTTTGAAAATATTGCGTATATAATATAGTACTCTTTGAAACCATATATACCTGCTGTCATCAATTGCACCAAATTATACTGGAGGCTAGGAAAGGTCCGGGGATTCTATGGAAATTTGGGAACTTCATTGCATAAGGTATACCATTTTATATGAGACCGTATAACTGTATGTTGTGCCTTTTGCCTTGCGTTTGCTTCATGAAGCTTTTCCTGAAGTGTTATGAGTATAGAACCACAAAACAAGTAACCAAAAATCATATAGAATATGGAAGAAAACCATATGGGATTTTTGAAATCACTTCAACTTTTCAGTTTCCAGCGTTGTTTATAAGTAGCTAGAGGGAGATATGAATAGAAGAATTATCTTTCGTTGAGGTTTTATAAAAATCAAAATCAACAAGTGATCCCCTGTGTGAAACCTAACTAAAATCTTTCAGATCTAATCATCACAAACTATATATAACGAAATACACAAGCTAGGAGTGGATTCTTGAGTTTCATTTTTTTTGGACAAAATGTAAATTTATTTATTCAAAGTAATTGAGAATTACAATACAATAAAGTACGTAGTAAGATGTTACAAAGAATGAATACCAACAAAATTACATCAAAATATACAAATATGTGTAACTACCCTACAAAATTAGTCTTGCATCATCATCTCAAGCCCCCATTGGCACACTATGACCATAGGCAAATGAGAGGATCTTGGCCGAGCAAAACCTAGTATCTAACACCTCACATCATATTGGACTTCATGGATAATAGTACTATAATTCTTAAAAGTTTTCTGGTGAATTATCTCATTCCTCTTTGTCCAAATATGGTAAGTTGCAACATTCCATGCTAATTTGATCCAAAACACAAAATATGGATTTCCCTCTAACATTTTTCCCCATCCAACTTAGTAAGCCACCCCAAGAATCAGTGAAAGGGATGGCAAGTATACTGCTGAGCTGCTACCATACTCTTCTCACATAACTGCATTTAAAAAATAATTATACTCATTTGTCTCAAGATTGTTGTTGCATAAGATCGATGCATGCATAAGGAATAGTAGGAATCCATTTTCTTTGCCCCACTCTTGCTCAATTCGTTAAAAACAGGTGGCTAACTTACGAAACTGTACCCAGGGATTCTTGAGTTTTTTAATAGAGCTAACGGTAAGTAAATGGACATATATTTATGGAGGTTAGCGAAGCCTACCAGACATATGGATGCAAGGACCATGAATAAGGCTATTTATATTAATTTTTATATTAATTTAATATTTATAATTTTTTAATTAAATAAATTTTATTTATTTTTA